CTTTACAGATCTTCTTTATGCACCAAGAGCTTGTAACACTTCAAAGAGAAAGAAAACTGCTCTAAAACCTTCTTCAAGACTCAAAATAGTTATTTTAACTAAATGTGAGCCTGGTCAAAACAAGTTTCACACAATGCAATTAATATTAATTATATTTCTTATTTCTCTTTTTTTTGGTGATTCAGTGCACTGCTGTATCTGAACGGCAATTTTGACGGCGGAGAATTCATCTTTACAGAAATGGATGCCAAGACTGTCACCGTAAGGAAGAATTACTGTGCATTTTGCTCATCTGTCCTCTCAGGTAGAGTTTGGCAGTTAAACACTCTGTTTTCCCACCCCTCTACAGGGAGCTGGTGAGGAAACCTGTTTGTCTGTCAGAGAGAGCACATACGTGTTTATTTTTCAGTCTTGGTTTAGGTTTTAGTAATGCCAATGATATTATATTAACATGGTGGCATGTCTGTATATATATATATATAGTATATCACTAAAATTCTGTCTAGTTGGAAAATGTAATTTAAGAGGAAGTGGAATTTTCCATTGTACATTAAGCACAAGTCTTGAGCCACATATGGCCACCTATACAGAAGTGTTATACCCAACAGTGAGTGCTGTCAAACCGTTAAACCACTTCCTGTTCTCACAACACACTAACATGATGCCCATTGTGTTTATATACACTAAGCACACGTTTCTAAGGCCTTTGACCTGGAGTATTTCTATACACGTCAGTGAACCCTGACCACTTTAAATGAATGAATACCTATGCTGTACCTGGTATAACTTATACGTACACTGTTATAAGAGTTATATCATTTTTTTTTCTTTTGAAATAAACAGGTCATTGTATTATTAAAGCTCAATTATTAAACCTCCTCCTTAGTCAAAAAACACCATTTATGCAAACTGAAAAATGGCTTGTAAAATACAGTACTTGAACTTCTGATATCTAAAACCTGGAGAGAAAAAAAACATGCCTGAACATGAGTGGTTCCCAGTCCTGGTGAGGTTACAAGGAGGAAGTAAGATGTTGTTCACTTCTAAAGAACCAAGCATTTAGACAGACGGTTTTCTTTCTTTTTTTTTTAAACCATGGATTTGGATGGCAGCTTCCAAAATAAAGGTTTTTATAGTAATAATTTAAAATGCACAATTGAAATGAATGAATGAATTATTATATAAATACATTTTATAATGAATGTTTTAAGAAATTATTTGCTAACTGTTTATATATAATTTATATATACATTTAAAAATTACATATATATATAAAATTTTAAAACTTGTAACTTTTTTTTTTTCAGATTGAATTAGGACAAAAAGCCTACTATTACTATTTTAGCAATAGGACAAGTCCTGGGATTTTGAGTCATTCCTCTTGCAGAACAGAGGCCAGGTCACTAAGTGATACTGGTGAAAGAAAACGTTTCCTAACTCGCTCCTCCAAAATACCCCAAAGTGGCTTAATAAAATACAGATCTGGTGACTGAGCAGTCCATGGGAGATGTTCAGCTTCATTGTCATGTTCATCAAACCACTCTGTCACCAGTCTTGCTGTGTGTATTGGTGCATTATCATCGTGATTGAGGCCACTACCTGCAGGGTGCAATGTTTGAACCATTGGGTGCACATGGTCCTCCAGTATGGTTCGGTAGTGTTACCTGTCTAGCACCAGTAGTGGGCCTAGGGTATGCAATGATATTGCAGCCCAAACCATCACTGATCCACCCAGTGCTTCACTCTGGGCATGCAACAGTCCAGGTGGTAAGCCTCTTTCGGGCTTCTCAACACCATAACTCCCACAAATGTGGGACAATGAAGGTGGACTCATCAGAGAACAATACATGTTTCACATTGTCCAAAGCCCAAAATTTGCACTGCCTGCTGGCACCAATCAAACTGACGTTTGCCACTGGCACAAGTGGCCAAATGTTTGGCTACAGCAGCCTGACCATGAATATTAACCCTGTGGAGCTCCTGACGAACAGTTTTAGTGGAAACGGGAGAGTCGAGGTGCACATTTATTTCTGCAGTGACTGTGGTTTTGTATTTTGGAGACAATCTGGGTCGCGTCCCTTTTAGAAAGCTTCCTCTTTCATTAACAGTTACTCCTGTAGGATGTGGTATGTCCTTTGTGGTGGCATGCCGACATTTCCCTGGATACTGTGGCTCTCGATACACCGCAAAAACTTGCTGTCCTGGTCACAGGTGCACCAGCGAGACACGCACCAACAAACTGTCCTCTTGTGAATCTGATATGTATCCCCGATATGTTGTGTGGATTGCAATACTTTATGCACAGCTGTGCTATTGCTCTGCTAATTCAACCTTCACGCTCTGGTTTTACTGATGGAATGTGAAATCCACACATAATATAGGCGCAAAACCTCCAACCTCCAACACTATATCGGCCAGTGTTTCAGTTTCGTTGTTTTCAATTTAATTATTTAATAATTACTTTTTTCTTTTTTTTACTTTTAAAACATAAAACAATTTAAGAATTGTTTAGTGTTTAATAAATAATGTTTAATAATAGAATGCTAAAGAAATGTGTGATGTATTCAAATATGATGAAATATAATGTGTTTTAAATCTAATTGCAGGAGAGGCTTCAAGCTGACGAGGTGATTCAAGCCCTGGATAATCAGCACATGTGGGACCAAGGGCTGCATATAAACCCAAAAGATGAGTTATAGTCCATCAGCCAATGGGAGAGAAAGTACAGGGTTCAGATCATTTCTTATTTATTTAATGAGCAGAATGATTTTATTTTTTTACTGTGTGAAATTTTGTTTTATTTTGCTTCTGTCTGTTTGTGAGAATTTTTTTTTATTGTTATTATTATGTGTGCATATAAAATCTCAGCTCACATTTATTACGTTGCGTACCTTTAAAGTCAACATGAAATCAAAATTGACTCAACGTTATACCATGGTATTTCTAGTCTGGTATATAACACAGAGTTTTCATGATCCTTTTTCTGTTGAAATATCCTGTTTCAGACGGTAATACATCAAATTACGGAAGTAATTCTGAATAGATTTGTATGTTGACTTTAAAAGAAACAGTGAACATAATTTAAATTTCTATCAAGGAAAGTATGGTTTGACTTACTTGCCATTCATACCACCAAAGAGTGAATTGACACTGTACAACAGCATATAGACATTATATTGGATGTATTTTATATTCAAGTTTATTTAACTAGAGATAATCCAAGTTACCTAATGAAACAGACTATGAAAAATGAGGATTTGCACAGTTACATACTTACTGTATATTCTTCTGTGATATTAACATACAACAGCTGTCAGTTTTTTAACAGTGCACTGTGGTTTCCTTCACATTGTGACACCACAATGCTTTCAGATGAGTTAATTTATACTGTTTACAAATGATCTGACTCAAGCTATGTTGTAGTTTGATCATAGACTGCTATAATAGCAAGCGTCAGCTTTTGATATTAGGAACCTTTTTAATAAAAGATGCTATTTGTTCCTGTTTCAAGGAATTTGAACTTAAATGTGGCATATTAATTGTCCTTTCCTTTCAAATTCATTGACTCGTGCAGCTCTCTGTGGGTAGATGAAATGTGCTTTGCACACTTGCCTCAGCTCTTGTCGAATTTGAACAAGGACGATGGCCACTTTTTCTCACTGATATTTAATTACATGAGTATTTAAGTCTAATTTTACTGTATGTAATGCACAGTGATGTTTGCAATATGTATTTTAAATTAAAGACTGAATTATACTTATTTGTGTCCTTTACTTGCACTGATTTTTTAATACACATTATGCAGTACAAACACATGCAAAATATTTGACAGTGACTTTGGCTTACCCTTAGGGTTAATCTGGGTTTTTTTTTTTTTTTCAGATACTTTAAAGTAGTTCAACCAAAAATTCAAATTTGCTTAAAATGTGCTCACCCTCAGACCATCCAAGACTTTGTTTCTTCATCTGAACAGATTTGGAGAAATTTAGCATTACATCACTTGCTCACCAGTGAATGGGTGCCGTCAGAATGAGAGTCCAAACAGCTGATAAAAACATCACAATAATCCACACCACTCCAGTCCATCAATTAATGTCTTGTGAAGCAAAAAAGAAACTCCGGCCAAAATAATTGATGGACTGGAGTGGTGTGGGTTATTGTGATGTTTTTATCAGCTGTTTGGACTCTCATTCTGACGGCACCCATTCACTGCAGAGGATCCTTTGATGAGCAAGTGATGTAATGCTCCTGTAAATTTATCCAAATCTGTTTCAATTCATTAGCCGCTATAGATATATAACTGGAAGAACAAAATGTGTTAAATAGTTAAACTCTTTGCACTACAAACCAATGTCTTCATAATTATGATAATAAAATTATAACAAATACCAGTTTGCAATATCATTCAGCATAGCAGACTGTTTTTGTACAGCTAGAATAATTGGAAGTAGATGAAACCAGATACTTGGCACATTCAAGTTACAAATGGCTGTGTACTCTTAAAAATAAGGTGGATAGCTTAGTTTGAACAATTTCTAGTTGACTCTTCTACAGGAAGACGGCATCAGAAGCTATTAATATAACACGTACATACAGTGGGTACGGAAAGTATTCAGACCCCCTTAAATTTTTCACTCTTTGTTATATTGCAGCCATTTGCTAAAATCATTTAAGTAAATTTTTTTTCCTCATTAATGTACACACAGCACCCCATATTGACAGAAAAACACAGAATTGTTGACATTTTTGCAAATTTATTAAAAAAGAAAAACTGAAAAATGCTCAGTATTTAGTAGAAGCACCCATTTGATCTAATACAGCCATGAGTCTTTTTGGGAAAAATGCAACAAGTTTTTCACACCTGGAATTGGGGATCCTAGGAAAAAAAATTTACTTAAATGATTTTAGCAAATGGCTGCAATATAACAAAGAGTGAAAAATTTAAGGGGGTCTGAATACTTTCCGTACCCACTGTATATGCATGACCACACAGGAACCCATTTAGGTATCTCTGCCAGACTTCAAAAGCTTTAACCATCACGAGTGAACAAGAAAGCTTCAGGTGTTCTCCTTTAAAGAGTCCAGGTGCTGTTTTTGTTTGGTGCAGTTTCATAAAGTTGAATTCATAATTTAAAGTAACTTCATCACTGTCTTTTTGTTTATCGTTTTATTTAGTCTCGGGGTGATTTACAGTATTATTCTGAACTGTGCTAACTTGGACATGGATCGAGTGTGCAGTGCAATCTTTCTTCTTTTATTTATAGGTAAGTGAGCTTTATGCTATTTTAAAAGCCTATTTTGTAAAGAACATTGTTTGATATAATCTATCATGTAGAAAGTGAAATATTTTGGGAAATGAATATAACTGGGGCTAGTCACAGGAGCTTTATCCACTAAAAAGTTTCTCTAGCCCTCATCCGTCCCTCCCGAACCTATAACAAAAGTGTCCCTCGCGGGTCAAAATGACCCAAAGGCCAAAAATGACACTAATTTTATTTTTGGTCCAGAAAGCTTATATTGGTCCATTTTTATATATATATATTTTTTCTAGTTTTTTATGTAGTTTTTTAAACAAGTGAAATCTTTAAAACTACACCATTTTGAGGCTTCATTAAGCATTCAGATATATCTCAAGGCTTTTAGATATATATCAAAACATTAAAAAATATATATTTTGTAAAAAAAAAAAAAGAAAGAAAGGAATTGATACTGAATTTTAATCCAAACACATGCATATTCATACAGTTTCATAAATATGTAATAAATATAAAAGATAAATTTAAAAATATAAATATGATATAAACTCATTGGTCTCTACCCCATCACTCAAATTAATTGAATTGATACTGAATTTTAATCCAAACACATGCATATTCATACAGTTTCATAAATATGTAATAAATATAAAAGATAAATTTAAAAAATATAAATATGATATAAACTCATTGGTCTCCACCCCATCACTCAAATTTAACTGTGTTAAGTAAAAAAAAATTCAAAATGACAGTCATTTCCCAGCAGAAACATCATAAATGCTATAATGTGTTTCAATGGGAGTGTGTGTGCCATGTGTGTGTGTGTGTGGGTATGTGAGTTTTTTGTGCATTGGGGACATTCTGCAGTCTCAGCCCTTTGTTTGGGTATGCATCTTTTCTGGATTGTGTCAGATTTTATATAGTAAAAAAAATCAAATAAATAAAAAAATGCTGTTTTTTTCTGACATTCCATTCATTCCTATGGCCGGGTCAAAATGACCCGCGAGGGATACTTTTGTTACTTTTTTTATTACACGCAAATAGAATCCTCGAATCGACAAAAACATTTTTTGTGTGTGCTCCATGCTCAAGTGTGACAAAATTCAATAAAAAAAAATCCGCAGTTTTTTCGTAAATTCCATGCTTTTCCAGTGGCGGGTCAAAATGACCCGCGAGGGACACTTTTGATACTTTTTTATAGCACCCACTTATTAAACTGCTCGAATTCACTCAAATTTTTTTTCATGTATTCCCGGTTCAAGTGTGAAAAAAAAGTAAAAAAAAGTCTCATAACATAACGATCAACGCTAAAAAATCTTTAAAAATGAGTTTTGGGTCAAAATGACCCGAGGGACGGATGAGGGCTAGCAGTGGTTTTCTCTGTATGTTTTAATCGTATATGTGTATATTTAATAAATTATAATTATAAAATAATTTATAAATTATGTATTATATTTTTATAATAAAATATAATTAAGTAAAAATATAATTATGTGAATTCTGTCTTTTAAACTCAAATTCTGCCATGTGTTTTACATTATAAATGTATATTGATTATACACTCTAAGAAAAGTTTGTCAAAATAGGGCGCAATGTATTATGTTAACGTGAAGAAATTTTCCACAGATTTTTCACAGCTGTTTACCTGTATTTTGAATTAAGCATTGCATTGCATTGTGTTGTGTTGTGTTTTATGGTTATAGGAAAACTTAGGAAATTAGATTTAAATTACCAGTACATGTTCTGTTGTATATATAAAAATATTTATGAAACACAAAATGATTAATACAATTTTGCAGAGAACTGTTAAATAGTGTATAATACGCCATGAAATGGCAGCTTCTCACTTTGTCCACTTGCCCCATATAGTCGCTTGGTTGAGTTATGTATTAAAGTCACATGTCAGCAGATATTTTGTGTTCAAAGAAATTATCCATCTAACAACAAGAAAGCATAACAAGCTCAAAACCATCAATATTCCAACCGTATATACTTGAATAAATGATCAATTATCTTATTTCTTTTAACTTCCTAACCACAACAGGAGCTTTGATCAGCAGTACAAGTCAAGGGAACTGAACGTCCATTTGAAACCAAAGTACAAAGTCTGTAAAGGAGACTCGGTCACAAGAAGCTGCATTTTTCAGCCAGATGGAAAGTACAAAGTTTAGTACTACAACCCGACTGATTTAGACTGTAACTGATTACATGAAAAATGGCGTATTTATACAGAAAACATGTCACTTGGTCAACATTCAACATTAATTCTGTCAAGACCAATGACAGTGGATGGTACTTCTGCAAGGTCATGAGAGATATTCCTGTTCTCAAAGAAAAAAAAAACAAAGAAAAAATTCAGTAAATATAATACAAGTTCTGGACGGAAAGTAGAGGGAAACTTGGTATTTGCCACATAAATAAGAGTAAGTTGTATGGGTTATTTATTGTTGTGTTATGAAGTTAGAAGGCTATGTAGTTAATAGAGCTTTTCTCTCAATACACTCTATGTAGCTCTCATCATACTCACATAGATACATCATAGATAGAGATACATATAGATAGGCCTGTCACGATAACAGCTTTTTGTTGTGCGATATATTGCCCCAGAAATAATTGCGATAAGCGATATTATTGTCATTTTAAAGACCATTTTATGCCACTGAATATATAATCATAATGTAACAGCATAATAATGCAAGAAGGCCTACACACTTCCAAATGACAACAAACTTTAAATTTTTAAGAGTATTTAGATCATGAAAATTAAGTATCAAAACATTAAATACCTTAAAAAACCTGAATAAATAGTAAATAAACATTTTCTAACAAAAAGTGCAAAGTAACAAGTAGAAAAAAAGAAAAATGCAAAAAAAAAACTTGTATGGAGATTTTTCCATCTACAGATTTTACCCTGACCTTCTTTTCTCTGTAAATTATATTGCGCGATAAGTCGTTATATTGATTATTGCGACAGGCCTACATATAGATACAGCAATAGTTTCAGCTACACACCAATATGGTGGTATTTGAAAAATTCTGGATAAACCTCACTAAAAGAAACCATCATGTTCACAACAAGCTCAAGATCAACACTATTCCAGTCGTATACTTCTTGTTTTAGCAACAGACAATAAATTGTTCTCTTCATTTTGTGACCACAACAGGTGGTGTGATTGGTGGAAGTCAAGAGGAAAGACTGAACGTCTATTTGGAACCAAAGTACGCTGAAGTTTGTGAAGGAGACTCGGTCACTATAAACTGCACTTTTCAGCCCGGTAGAAATTATAAACTGAGGTGGTACTACAGTCCGACTGATTTAGACCGTAACTCTGGAACAGAAAGATTACATAAAAAATGGCATAATAATACAGAAAACAATGTTAATTGGTCAGTATTCACCATTAATTGCAATGACATTGGATGGTACTTCTGCAGTGTTATGAGAGATATTCCTGTTCTTGACCAAAAATGCAGTAATGGAACACAAGTTCAGTTAGCCAGCTTATGTAGGATCACTGCCTGCATATAAACCCAAGAGACAAGTTCATTAGTTCATCAGCCAAAGTGGGAGAATTTAATTATTATTAATAATATTGTTGTTGTTGTGTGCATACAAAACCTCGTACATATCGTTCTGTTTAAAGTGGAAATGTGCCTCTGCCTCATTTGTGCCAATTGCCTCATTTGAACAAGGACAATGGTCTTTTTCTCACTGGTATTTAAATGTACATTTAAGTCTGCTTTTACTGTATGTAATGCAATTTACAAATTGTATTTTTTTTTATTAAAGACTGATATATATATTTGTCCTAGCATTCTTTGTGATATATACAGATTATGCAATACACAGACATGCAACTTAGAAAAAATGCCAGTATTACATTTTCTGTTTCAGTTTGATGTTTAGTTCGACTTGTAAACAGTGGTTTAGGCTTGCCTTTAGGTTTAATATCGAAACCACATCCAATGCGTCACAGTTCTCAGCAAGTCATGTATGAGATGTCAAAACAAAACTCCATCAAATGTACAGGACCCCCCAAAAAAAGTATGTGGACACGTAAATCACTTAATGTCCAAATGTCTTGCATTAAATATAAGATATCAAGTCATAAACATTAGATACAATATATCAAGACGAAATATCAATGTGTCATTTATTTGAACTAAATATAGGACAAACACATTCTAAGTGAAATATTTACCCCAAAATATGTTTATGTTTCAAAGTACAAAGAACTGACTTAAAATATTCACTATAAATATCAGTTAATTAAAAGACATTGCACAAATGGTTCAGAAAAGTTCAATTAATTTAGAGAAAAGCTTGTGCAGATGCTAATTTGCTATCTATCTAATGCAATGAAATATTTCAATGAAATACAACTGTGACTTGAAGGTCCAAAAGCGTTCACATACAAGTTGGGGACATTATTTTTGAGCAGCGCTGTTTCTGCGAGTGAACAGAAAGCGTCTCTGGTGTTTTCCTGATACGTCTGATGTCAGTCGAGTTTTTTGTGGTGCCGATTCTCATTTCATGTTCATGCCGCTGACCTGCTTTCATGCCTGTAACTTGTGCGCATTACTTCAAAGCAACTCTCACATTTTAACCCACTTTAAGAGCGGTAAGTGTACTTTAAATACTTTTAAAACTATTACTTTTTCAGCTGCAGATCTTGCATGCTATGTATTGCATTAGAAGTATAGTTATTTGCAAAAACCATTTGAAAGAATCATTCCGTTTACTTGAATAATGTCTAGTAGACTTAAGCTTCTACAGGAAGACAACATATAATTCTTTTCATAAGCTATCAACAGATAGCTCTGAGACCTATTCATATATGCATGACCACACAGGAACCCGTCTAGGTATCTCTGCCAGACTTCAAGAGCTTTAACCAACACCACGAGTGAGCGAGCGAGGTGCTGTTTTCATTGAAGTTGGATCGATCATTCAATTCAATTCAAATCTTTTTCTTCTTTTTAGACTATTTTTGCTCTGAAGGAGGTTTATTATTCAAGACCCACTCTGTGCCCAGCTCAGGCATGGATCAACTGTGCAGTATAATAGTTGTTCTTTTACTCACAAGTAAGTGAAATTTGTGCTATCTTAAAAGCCTAGTTTGTTAAGAACATTGTTTGGATTTAATCTAACACATAGAATTGGCCAGATATTTTGTTAAGTAGAGTTTTTGACACTTTATGACCAAACTTTGACCAAGGTTAGTTAATACAAAGGCTTTATCTCAATAAATATTAGATTTTGAGTCTGATTACAAATGTGTGTTTCACTTAGCAGTGGTTTTGTAAGTCTGCTTCAAGCATCTAGTTCAAAAACCTCTTAAATTAGAATAATATTGTACATTTGGTCTTTTACAGTAAAATTTTGTCACATGTGTTTTACATGTTATTAATGTAGTTTATCAATTACAATATTTGTTCACCAAAACAATAGATTATCTTTTACATTTTCGCTGTTTCATTAATCATTTTATGTTTCATAACTATTTGATAGTATACATTTGCAGAAAAGCTGTTAAATTGAATTAACATGTCATTTAATGTTAGATTCCAGTTATGACAACATGTCCCACGATGAAAATGTATATTTCCTGTGCAATAAATATATATATATATATATTTTTTTTTACAGTTAAAACTTTGACTACTACAAACTACTTTGACTAAGAAACTGACTTTCAAAAATAAACCAAGCAATTAGCCCTATAGTTTACCTTGTATTTACGTTATGGACAAGCTATGAGTAAAAATGACAAATGAACACATTGGTTGACAAACCCAGAATAGCTTGTTTGAGGTATTGAGTAATTACAGTCATATGCCATTAGATGTTTTGCATTTAAAGCTGTTAGTTAGCTCAACTAGTATCAACTAATGTTAAGAACCAAAAAAACTCAATTCAACTTAATAATTTATCACAATGTCAGTATTCCAGTCGTGTGTCTATTGTTTATATTGTTTTTTCTTTTCCTGACCATAACAGGACCTTTGATCAGTAGTACAAGTCAAGAGGAATTGAAAGTCTATTCGGAACCCAAGCACATCCAAGTTTGTGAAGGAGACTCAGTCACATTCAACTGTTTTTTTCAGCCAGGTGGAAAACATAAGGTGAGCTGGTACTATAGCCAGACACCTAATTTAGGCTGTGACTCTCTAACTGACAAGATACCTGAAGAACAGCATTTTTATACAGAAAATAATGACATTTGGGCAACACTCAACATTAATTCCATCAAGACCAATGAGAGCGGATGGTACTTCTGCAAGGTTACAAAAGATATTCCTTTTCTCGAAAACAAATGCAGTGATGGCATACAAGTTCTGGTTGGTAAGTAGAGGGTTGTTTCAAATATAGAAATGTTGCGATGTAAAATTAATATGGATGATTCTCAAGTAATGTTGGAGAAACAAGATGATCACGCTTTACACAAACGTAATGAGTTCATGCATTGAGTGTTGCTGTCATTAAAGCAGAAAAGGACAAGCCAAATACTAAGACATTATGAAATTAATGTACATTTTTCACCTCAACTTTTCCCACAAATTGGTCTGTTGATAATTTAATTTATAAAAATGCAAGAGTAGTCAAATGAAATGCATATAAATAAAAACATTTTCACCAGTGGTCTCAGACTGTTACGGTGAACTTCAAAGAGCTTGATCAATAAATATAAGTTGCAATGTAAAAACTTCTTTATGCAAACTATTTATGTTGCATTACAGCTTTAAATATTTGTGGGAAATAAAGACAATGTATACCAATAACCAAATTTCCAATTTGACAACTATAGAATTCCATCACTTTCACATTTTAACTGCCTAACATTTTAACTCCTAAATCCTTTATTGAAATTATTAAAAGTACCAAAAAAATCAGTTTTGACAACTTTCACTGTTGTTTTTTCTCTACAGATACCAACAGCAACCAGGAATATCCGAAACAGACACAGAATCCGACGCAAAATCTAACTACACAAGATTCACCCACAACTTGCTTGATCAGTGGTAAAATGTAGCTTTTGTTCCCTCATTAAGTCATGGGTTTACTGCATAATAACTAGGCTACTGCTTCTATTGTGGTCTGTGTGTAGGTTTGTCTCAAATATCAATAAACTTGTTCTCAAATGTACGTTTTTAGGAAATAAAGTGTACTATTGCTACAAAATTAATTACAGGCATTCAACTGACATAGTACTACACAGTGGGGTCCAGAAGTCAGAGACCACTAGTTGTCCTTTTTTCACATTTTTATTATAATTTTTTATAAGTGCTGTCAAAATTAGCGCTTTAACGCATGCAATTAATTTTTTCAGTTTAACGGCGTTAAAACTATGTAACGCAATTAACGCAGGGCCGAAGCTAAGGTAGGCCACCCCACTCACAACTGCAGCTTCTGCCTCTTTTTTCTTGACAAGAATTGTGTTTATTTATACGCAGAACGTCTTTACGACCACATCAAATGGGAGACTTTTCAGACGTGTGTTCTAACTTCACCTCAGCGCCTGGCGCGAGTCAAATGAGCACGGAAAAGGTACAGGTCACAAGAGGTGACTTGCTATAAGAAAGTAATAGCAGTCAAAAAAATCTAATAACCCAGCTGCTGTGATGTCTGTTAATCAAAGAACAAAAGGAAAAAGAGGAAATCAATAACTTTTGTAGCTTTAAGGATTCATCTATTTAATTTAGAATTTAGTGTTTGATCATTTTAAATGTCTGTATATTTCCTACTTTCTGAAGGGCACAGGTATAAATATGACTTTTATCATAATGGGTTTATGTGAGGATTGTTTTAACTTCACTTAAATTAGAAGTTGTTGTTTTTAAAAGTCTAATAAATGTTAAAATTGATAGATCTCAATTGTACTGTAATGTTGAATAGCTATAGACAATGGTTAAATATTAGGAAAAAGAAAAAATATATTTCCTAGAGATATCAGTAGTATTGGTATCAGTGATACTCACCTTCACTTCAGTCATAAAAAAGATACCATTAAACAAATATTAAAAAATATATTACTATTATTAAAATTATTACAATATAAAAATCACAATTGATTTCAGAAAAATATGCAATTACCTGACCTTAATTTTTTAATCGATTGACAGCACTAATTTTTATTATTATTATTATTATTATTTTCTTTTCCTAAACAATTCTGTTTATGTCCAGGATTAAATTAAGTTTTGAACCCCAGATTTTCAATGTGGTTTTAGCCTTTTAGACACCACTGCATTTATGATAATACATTTTTGGAGTTCAAGACCAAAAACACAATTACTGGCTTGTCAAGTAGGTTTGTAGAGAGATTTGGAGGGGAAGAATTTAGGAAAAAATTGTTTGCTTTCCCTTCAAAAAAAAAAAGGTTGCAATCATATTTGATTCAATACAACTCCATAATCAAATTCACACATGCATTCTTTGAGAATATAAATCTAGCGTTAACACTGCAGCCATAGGAAGAGCCACACATGTGACAGAATGACCTAACAATGGGTTATTTCTTGTAAATTTTTGTGTGTTACAGCCACAACAATCCTCACAACATCCTCCACACCACCGTCCAGCATTGCTCAGTGGTGGATATGGCTAGCGTTGGCAGTTGGATGCGTAGTACTAGTTGTGTTAATTGTTGTCATATGCATCTTGACTCGCAAACCTAAAGGTACGTCTACAATGACTCAATGTTGCATTTAAAAAAATCTGTCGCCAAATAAATAGTTTAATCCTAAACTAATTTATTTAACAAAAACAATGTTAACTTTGACCAAATCTAACGTTAAGAACCTACAGTTCATTGTCCGTCTCACATTAATGTTTTATACACTTAAAGAAATCGGTGCAGAAACAATTTTCACTCAGAAATATCTAGTGAATTTTACAACTAATTACAAAGAAACGGCAAGCAACACATTGAATTAAGCGTGACATTTTGGATGAGTAAAATACTATTTTTCTGTAAAACGTATTCCAATAATCTTTATTTACAACTTTGAAAAATATTTTTTACAGTGTATGTGGCTATTTATCTATTATCTATGATAGAAATGGCATTATCTATTAAGCCATTGATAATGATTATTTCAAATGCATGACATAAGCATCATAAAGCATTACAACATAACATCACCATAATAATGATGTTCAAAGATTGTATAACTTTACTCAAACTAGGCCTAACTTTACTCTCAAGCCAACACACATAATGCTAAAGCCTTGTGGTTATGAATGTCTACAGCCTATAACTATAATTTTTGCTTTAAACTGAGGGAAGAATCAAGATTATTTCTTGCTGTTATCAAAATTATACCACAAAAATCCTTTAAAAGACACACAGACTGTTTGGGGTCCTCATACGAGACTCTGCTGAGAAACATCAATGCATCCTCAGGGGTCTTTGTACAAGGTCAGACATTTCCTGGGTCGCAAACTGAGCGCTGAATGAGTGTGGGTGTCATGTGGTTAAGCGCTATGAGAGTGAGCTCCAGTTGATGATCAAACTGCCTCTCATTGTCTGTGGTTAGACTCGAGCAGTTAGGTGCAGCGTGCACAGCAAAACCATTTTCTTCCAGAACCTCAGCGTGGCCTGTGCTTTGCACTGTTAACCATTTGATGTAACTCACAGTAATGTTATGTGTTTCTAGAGATCATCTATGAAAACACCAAACCAGTGGAATCGAGCTGCTGGAGGCAAAACCGGACTAAGATGGACATCTGCGACCTGCCTGACTCCAAAAAAACTGACACCATTAAACCGCTGAGGAAGTATGACACTCTTTCAAGCAACAGAATCCACAGGCCATAACTATTCCATATGAAAGAATTATCCCCTGAAAACACATTAAATGTCTTATATTAAATGTCTTACCATGGAAACATATTTAATTTTGTAATGTAGCATTGTAATGTAGCATGGGAAGATGTAAATATAAAGCAGATTTTTTTTTTTTGTCAGAAAGAGATACTTGAGAAAACCTGATTCAGTTGTATCATACTGAAACATTCTGTGGTTACAAAAAACGTGAAAACAACAAAAAGAAAAATCTGCCACACTCCTTTTCCACTCACAATTAATAATGCATATTATTGTGACAGTACAAATAGGTCTATGGTATTTCAGAACCAACATAAAGATTAATCGACCAAGATTAGATAACAAACCACATACTGTGACAGCAGCAAATGAGGGAAGAAAATAAGGAATTGAGGTGTTTCATACTTATGAATTATTAATTCTTATGTAGTCACAAAATGAACTAAGAATTTTCTTTGAACGCCCATTTCCACATAACTCATTTCAGTCATTGACTTTAACACATGAAAACGAGGCTGTGAAGGACAGACTTACAGTCTTTACAATGGCAAGCACTGTATAATGGTAATTTCACAACTCATAACTTAAAACACTGTTCTATGGTGTTTTTGTCTACTGAAGGTTTTTGAACAATGATGTTGTTGAACAACAGTACAATCCATTGAACGCACTGTACTTCTATCCCTCACAGCCTCGTTTCATTCGGGCCAAAAATGAAATACTCGACGTTGCGACACACGACAGTTATAGCCTACCTCAGATCTTGAAAATAACTTAAAGGGGTCATATGATGCTTTTTTAAAGATCATTATTTTGTGTATTTGGTGTAACAGAATATGTTGACATGCTTTAATGTTCAAAAAACACATTATTTTTCAAATACTGTACATTACTATGCACAATCAGCTTGTAACACTCCAAAGAGAAAGGAAAACTTGAAATCGCATCATATGACCCCTTTAAAGGAAACAAGAACTTTCAAACTGTGAACTCTGTGTGCACAAACAAGTGCTTTCCATGACAAAGACTGTGTTAGTCGCTGAATATGTATTTTGAACATAGATAAAATTGTTTATTTTATATAGGCCTACTTACCGATTTCTATTCGATTGTGAGACAGTAGTGTTCTTTCTGAGAGAAGATAGAGCCCGCCCACACGCTCTTCTGATTGGCTGTACTTTATGATTGATTTTGTCTCCTTTCGAAGGTTGTTGTTTTTTTTTGTTGAAAGAAATTAATACTTTTATTCAGTATGCAATAAAACAGTTATTCAGCAAAGACTTTTACACTTTGACATTGGTAATAATAATAAATGTTTCTTAAGCATCAAATCAGCATATTAGAATGATTTCTGAAGGATCATGTGACACTGAAGACTGGAGTAATGATGCTGAAAATTCTGCTTTGTCATCACTGGAATGATTTACAAATGAAAATACAAATCAGTAAAGTGGAATAACATTGAACAATATTACTGTTTTTACTGTATTTTTCAAATAAATAAACTCATCCTTGGTGAGCATGAGAGACTTCTTTCAAAAACATTTAAAAAATCTTTCCGTCCCCAAATTTTTTAGTGTATGTTCTGGTGTAAAAATCATTAATTAGATGTTCATTAAGCAGCTTTATGAAATGCAGAGGTGGGACAATTAAAAAAATAAAATAAAAATCACACTACTAGCAGAAAGTGGAACGCAGTACTGCAGAGAACAACGCTGTCCTAGTAAAAAAACAACGAAGGCCTTTGCCAAACAGGGTCACGCTCACAGACAGGAATTGATGGACACTTGGGTGCCCCAAAATGTAACAGTTCATGCACTTCCTTTGTGACCTAGATTTACCAAAAACTGAACAGTGGAAGACTCACAAAGACAGAATCAATTGCTGAACTGTAATTCGGGCACTAAGTTAATACTTTGTGCGATATTTGACAAATACGGTATAAAATAGGCCTTAAAACACGTTAAAACTCAAATGGTCACTGAAGAATCGCTCTCACGGTACTTTGATGTCAAACGCCGATCGATCTGCGTAAAAGTACTTCAAAAAAAGTCGCACACACCTAACTTAATATGTGCGCGTATTTGCATCGCTTTGACTGCCCATGCACCTTCTCACGCACCACGATTGGTCGATTATGTACGATGCCTGCATGTTATTGGTCAAACTACTTTTCGAACATTACCATCAGCAAGTATGAAAACAGGAAAACAAAGCCAAAACCTGGATATTAGGGATGTAACGATTAACTGCGAGCCGGTTGGAAATCGATTCAAATATGTGACGATTAAAATCGGTTGAGATGCTAAACCAATCGCGATTCATTTAGCGGTAGGAGTTTATAAGAATCTATGTCTGAGGGAAACTTACTGTCTTTAGAAAAGTTTAGATGGTATTATTTTCGTTTCCTCTTGCCTCTGTATAATGCATATTAAAGTATTGTAGGCAACATATAAATCCTGGCCAAGACGTGTCCGGGAAAAAGAACAGTGGTCACCCTACATTTAGAAAATGCCTTTAATATAGGTAAAACTGATTTTTACAGACGTTTATCAGATGTTTGTGCACAGCAGATGCTTTCCAGATGAAACGATCTTTAACAGACATCTTGAAGACGTGCGTGTGCTTTCTAATTAATCTCAAATGAGTTCCTCTTTCAGCTCAACCATTCACCGATTAGGTCAGCAATGTACACATCGATGAGTTCCTGGTGAAATCGAACTTGCTTTTGGATCAGTCTTGTGATTTCATAGTGCCATCAAGTGGTCTTTTTTTTTTTTTTTTTTTTGCTTTCTAGCAAAATAAAATACAATAAAAATTAACACTACAATTAAATAATATTGTTTCTTAAGTGTCATAATTGTAAGATGTTAAATATTTTCAAATGAGGAAAAAGAACACTTTGTCCATTTATGTCCTTTGTCCATTTTATTCCGACCCACATAGTGTCATATTTTAGATTCACAAACTCATCATTTATAAGAGAACCTTAACAGACCAATGACCAGCAATGTAGCGGCGCGCTCAGTGGGTGTGACCGGAGCAGCGCGTCTCTCCCCCGGTAACCGGCGCTGCTGCTGCTGATGGAGAGAGCGAGACAGGCGGAAGGTGGGTGGGGACATCCGAGCCATTGTCGGGATAAACGCACCTCACTCTCGGGCGGCTGAACGCTGAGCTCGCGCTAATCCGCGCAGGAGAAGACTGAATAAACAACACCGGTTTGGCCGAAGCTTTGTTTTAGGTAAGCTTTTGGAAATGCTGCACGAATTTTTGACGGTGTCTTGCAAGCACGCAGAGAGTTAAAGCTTCATTGCGTTGCTTTTGGGGCCAGACAGGACATGCATGCTGTGTAGCCTATACATGTGAATGTCAGCGAAAATGACAGATATGAGGGTTGCATGCAATGAACTGAGTCAGTAAATAAATTGTTCAGATCAGCAGCCTAATTCCCAGTGTCTCCATTGCACTAAAGCAAACACATGCAAGCTTCTCTTTGCTGACAGGACTGCATGGCACAAGTTGTCACAGTAATTGCATGCAATTGTTTGCATGCATAATAAATCAAGACTTTAAAAGACGTTTCATTTTCTCTCTGGATCACATGATTTATTTAAATGATGCTACATTTGAAAAGGGCTTGAGGTCAGTGATATGGATTTATTGTGGTTTACATTGTTTGATGCTTATGCATTATTTTTGTTTCTTATTTAACATATGGTCTATGAAATATACAAGTTCTGGTCGCTTGATTTACTAAGCAGCATGCCACAGTGCACTGAACCAGAATGATTTGCTAACCTAAATGGGGGACATTCCATAGATTACTGTTGTTTTTATTTTTCTATAGTTAATAATTACAACAGACTGACTCTAACCCATAGATAGAATTTTTTTATTTATTTATGATAAATGTATTTAGAATTTATAATACATTTATTTCTTTATAATGCTTAAATACATTTTTATTAAATGTATTTATTTATGATTTATTTGGTTTAATACACCATTAATTTAATATATGATGTAGAGGAGTTATTGTCCTTGTGGGAATATTGGGTCCCACAGTTTAGGCAAAACCAAACAAACACACACACACACAGCTCTTGATGTCCTCGATTACAGATAACCTTGTCCCTCTGTCCCTTCAGGAATCTGAAACCATGACTGCAAAGGAGATCATAAACATTAAAGAAGCAGAGATAATCAAGCTGATCCTGGACTTTCTGAACTCCAGAAAGCTCCACATCGGTATGCTGGCCCTGGAAAAAGAGAGCGGCATCATTAATGGGCTTTATTCAGATGATATGCTCTTCCTGAGGTGGGTTGTAAGTTGTGTCTTTGAAACCTAAACAACTAATGAATTCTTAGTGATTTTAATAAGCTACTGTTCAACAGTTCGGAATCACTAAGGCATAGGTTTTTTGAAAGAAATTGGTGTTAAGCAAAGCAGCATTTAATTGATCCAAAATGCAGTAAAAATGTCTTTTTTTTTTTTTTAATTCAAAAGTAATTTTTGTTTTTCAAGTTTTACTTGCAGCGGCCATTTTAGCAGCATTTACTCTAGTCTATTACGAACAAAACTATGCCATCCTTAAGAAATAGTTGTGCTGCTTAATGAATTGTGGAAAAGGAAAAACTGTGTCTTTTTCAGGTGCTGAAGTATGGAGTACACTTGCATTTCTTGCAGTAACATCATTTTAACTTCTGAAAGATGTTTAATATTTTTTGGTAGGTGAACTCATTTGTGGCCCTTTTCTGTTTTTGGTTTTGTTTCTTTTTTTTCTAAGGCAACTTATATTAGATGGGCAGTGGGAGGAAGTTTTGCAGTTCATCCAGCCTTTGGAGTGCCTGGAAAAATTTGACAGAAAGAAGTAAGCAAGTCAGGTTTGAATCTTTTGCCAACACTCAAGCATGTGTTGCTTGTGTCACAGTCTTTTGGCTTTTTTTTTTTTATCTGTCAGGTTTCGATATATCATCCTAAAACAGAGGTTTCTGGAAGCTCTGTGTGTAAACA